GCTACACAAAGAGACTGGTTGAGAAAAGAAGAAATGAGGGATGAGCCCAAAGCATGTGAAACGATCAGTAAGCATACATACATTGCAGACAATAATGATGAGACGAAGCCTAGCCATGTGGCGAGCGTTCTCTCCTTGCGTTTCTTGGCCCCCTGATTCGCCATACCTGCCTCTGTATCAACTACGCCCCCCTTGACTCTGAAAACTCCACGAATCTCAGCTAACTCGACAATGGGGACTTCCCAGTCATAGTGAAGAAGATGATGCCTCTGATTTGATCGATAGAGAATTTCATTTTGGGCCGGAAACTAGATTGGGATATTGGGCTTAATGGAAAGCCTAATATTACGGATCCGCATCCAATGGGATTCTAGGCCTTTGTAAAATTAAAAAGAAGCTACACATAGACATAAAAACGACGTCGTTGCGCATGCACACAGGCTTGGGCTTTCACGCCTGAGTAGAGAAATATTTCCATTCCAGACGAGGAAAAATGCACATATTCTAATGAGACACAAGTAGCATCAAAATTCACAAGTTGAATCCACTTGATATTTTTGGAAACAATGATTCGCATATAAATAAAGTTTAAACATTAAAACATCAAGTTTTGTATTTTTAATTAAAATGAAGAAGACACAGAAATGCATGTTGAAGTTTGAGCTGTGAGAAATAAAGTAAAACCGGAAAACAAGACATATATGCATCATCACATGGAGGCAGAATTAATCGGGAATCTCCCTTTTGCATGAAGTTGTCTTTATAATTCATTTCCTTATTATTATATGCACACTTTCCTAAATATGGACGTTTTTCCAAATAAAAAACTTCCCCTTATTTAATCAAATCGTTTTTTGATAAAACCATTCAACTCAGCTCACCTCAAGTATCCCTTAAATATTAACTTAAGTAAGAAATTACGAGTCTAACACGTAGATATTATATATGTGTGAGCTTTTTTACGTCAGATGAAGGGGCAAAAAAAAAAAAAAAAGAAGAGTAAATAATGATTGAGAAACTTTTAGAATGTAATTTCTCTTTTTTTATTGGAAAAAGAAGATTTTTACCCCATCATAATGCTACTTCGAGGCTACACAAGGTCAAGTAGTTCAAACACAGTTGATAGTAGTTTTAAATTTCTACTCTAATTATAATTACATTTTAATAAGATATAATTAAAACAAAGTATACATATACACACACACACAATCAAAACTAAATTTTATTCACTGCACTATCATTGTAATTTTAAAAACATTAGAGATGGACTAATGTGATTTTTTCGTTAATGATCTGTATTTTTTTTTTTCCTGGGGTTGCCAGAAAAAATGTGATCTCAAGATATGTTATCATGTCATGTTGGCAGCTGACTGGATCGTACCTGATTTTTCATAAATTGAGCATATGGTGTCACTATTTTCTTAAATTTAATTGAATTATTACATATTAACAAAGACTTATTTTTAACAAAATTAAACTGTGCAATTTACATTAACTTCAAATGGCAATTTATCTTTTCATAGAGGCACCTTTTAAGAAAAGTTAAAGGGAACTAAAAGACACAGAATATTTGGGCACAATTTGACCAAATTAATTAATGTTGGCTTCATTATGAGCATGTTTCTGATAAGATAATAACTGGATTTAACATTATTCCCTATCTGAAATCTGCGTATGGTTGGAGGTCAAAAGAAAAAAAAAATCTGGGTATGATAAAAAGAAGCGATGGCGACGCAATCCTATTTAACAATGAACATAAATCCTTAATTGGTCCAAAAATGTCAATCATGTGATATCCTCTCTCTCCGCGAAAAAATATAAAGTAAAAGAAGTAGAAAAGCCATTGACGATTCCTTCAACTCGGTTTCAGGGCGAGTAGCTAGCTCAGGAAGCTGATCGTCTCTTAGCTCAAAGGATATCTGTGTTTTCCTAAGCTTGCGGGAGTTCCGAGTACAACACGCACCCAAAAAGTTACTCAACCCCAAAACACAGGAGCACTTGAATATTTTTAACCATTTTTAGCCCAATCTCTCTCTCCCGTCTCACCTCTCTCTTCCTTCTTTCGAGGCGTTCCTGAATCCTTGGTGAGTCTTGTTCTTGCGACGAACTAGATATAGATATACGATAGCACTTTTGTTATTGTTGGTATTATTTATCATTTATCATTCTCCTTCTTCGGCCTTGACTTTTTTAAATCTTTGCAAAAATGAATTCCCAGTTGTGTTGGAGGTATTTTTCTCCATTCCGGATCATTCCTTTTACCAAAAGATAAAATCTTTTTGTTGACTTTGATTTCAGTTTCCGCCTTCTTTTTCTTGTTTTCTTCAATTATGTCATTTAATAAAATTTAATTTCCTCTCCTTTTGATATTTTCCTAATATCTCGGATTGCGTTTGAGGTTCCTGCATATTTGGAATGAATTGACGTTTCCTGGTTTTGTTTTTTTCCAGGTTCGATGAATTTGTGAATTAGTTTTATTTCTTTCCTTCTTTTTGTCCTGGCCTTGCGCGATGTATTCATAACATGCGATGAATGAATACGCGAACCTGGTTTCGTCGCGATCGATTCTGCGGGCTCTTTATTCATCTCAATAACTGCATATTCTGATTCATTGCATTTTCAGTTACAATGAAAATCTTTTTTTTTTCCCTGGATGAAAATCTTTTTTTTTTCCCTGGATTTAGTCAAATCATTCATTGAGCTATTCCTTCTGCGGATTCTTTACCCCTGATTTCATGTAATTGAAAGCTTGTTATAATACAGAATTATGTTATCTATGTCTCTCATTGCAGTGATTTTGAATAGTTCAGGGCGGACCACTCCCGACGCTCTTCTTTTGGGAGGTTGGAGTGGTAGGCGGCAACCCTGGTGTAGTACATTGGTATTGGAGTTCGATTGAAGATGAGGACCGTAGTTCGATCTGTCCGCCAATTACGACAAGCTCTTCAGAGGCAAAAATGTGTTATGATCAGTAGCAGAGCAGAAGCACCTTGTTATCTGAGAAAGGCACATCATAGTGCAGCTTATAGAGTTGTTAATCATGCTGAAACCAAGTTACTGGGATACAATACATGTCCAACCTCAAGAGCTCTTTCAGTTGATGCTATAAAACTCACAGATGGAGGTTATTCTCTAGTCTCTGATGATTTCGTTTTCTCCATTTGCTTTGAAAGAAAAAAACTCTTATGTTCGTCAAACCAACTATTAAGATGCATTTAAATATGTTAGATATGTTGTTTAGCGTGCTTTTCTGGCATGCTGATGTGTATCTTTATGGTGATTGGCTTGATCTACAACTTCACATGCTTTTTTTTGTATCTAAGAATCTCTCATGGCTTTTTTTTGCTGTATTGATGGATTTCAAACCTTTCTTTCTCTCATTTCACGAGTATTGAAACTTGCTGTTTCAGTTGCAGAAGTAAACATAGGAGGGCCTCTTGTTGAATATGAACGTAGAATTGCTGCTGGTGAACTTGTAGATGGCGACACTTGCCAGGTAACTTTATAGACATTTTACTGATGAAGAAAATGGGGGCCTCACCTCACTTTTATTGTGGTTCTTTCCTGTCCCCCCCCCCCCCCCAACTCTCTGAGTCTAAACGAGAATGAAAACAAGAACCAAGCTCTCTTTTCTACTAAATTACTTATAATCTTTGCTTGGGAGGGTGGTAGCCTCTGTTCTGTTTGGTTTGATCGGATGCCATATGGAATCGTCATGACATTTTCTTGGCCGTGGCTCCACCTTTGTTTTCATATTCTTCATTTGATTGTCTTTTATGGACATTTCTTTTGGCAGTTAGTCACTCTGAGAGAACTTCAGAGACTCTATGATGAGCTGGTTGAGTCTGTTGATGCCTGCCAATTGGATCGCAATTCTGAAAAACATGTAAGGTATACTTTCATTTCTTCCTGTAATTATCTCATTCCATTTTGATATATCGGTTCAAATCTTGCAGTTTTTATCTTTTTCTGCTTTTGCTTCATGTTTAGACATCTAAATTCAAAATAACTTGCTTCTGTAGGAGCGGGTGGTTGTGGTCCCGTCTTTTGTTTCAACCTTCATATGCACCAGTTAGGGGTTTATACTTGTATGGAGGAGTGGGGACTGGGAAAACTATGCTGATGGATCTGTTTTTTGATCAATTGTGAGTTTGATATGAAACTGTTCTCTTCGGATTAACTTGGTTTAATACATGTCATCAAGTCCTCATATTTTTAATTTAAAATTAAATGGGAATAGCATCCATAATTTCTAGATGATTTTATGGAAGTGAGTTCTCATTAAGATAAACCTTGTCTTACCATATTTTGCTGCTCGTAACTTTTCTTTCTCAGGCCTGCCAATTGGAGGAAAAAGAGGATTCATTTTCATGACTTTATGTTAAATGTACATAGTCGATTGCAAGTAAGTTTATAGAACCTTTTTATCACCTAAAATAAAGTTGATACTGTTACGTGTGGAACTGCTTTCTAAATGCAATAGTAATTTATTCTTCTTTGATGTAAGTGAGCCATAGCTCAATTGCATTTCAAGTCTTTCTTACCAATCGGGGGTAGATTTCTACGATTTTGCATGAATCTTTTGCAGTTAGACGTGTTAAAGCCTACTTCTGGAAGGCTCCCAACATTCAGGACTGGCATATATCTTGTTTTATTTTGGTTATTCTTCTTTCAACCATCTTGAAAAAGGATGTTAGGGTTACCAGAAGGTATTTTTAACGAGATCACCAAAAAAAAAAAAAAAAAAAAGCAATATTATCAACGCAAAAGACCTTTCTGGGCATTAATCTAGTAGCCTTGGTTATTTTCTGGGTACTGTTAGTTTCTGAATATATCATAGGCCAGAGGAAAGAAAAAAATGTTTATCTCAATATCATATTTTGCATCCTTACAGAGGCACAAGGGTGTGTCAGATCCACTTGATGTTGTTGCTGAAGAGATTTCGGAGGACGCAATTTTATTATGTCTTGATGAATTTATGGTATTTCTTTTTTTGCAGTTGATTCATATTGAGGGATTTTTTTTTTGGGTTAATTTGATTCCATAACTTGAGTTTTGTATATGATATTTTGCATAGGTAACGGACGTTGCTGATGCACTGATACTAAATCGCTTGTTCAGACATTTGTTCAGCAAAGGCATTGTAAGTAATATAATCACATAGTAGCCTCTCTGAATGAGAGGATTTGGTTGAATTTCTGCAAAATTAACTTCAATATTTAACATTTAATTTCTCTGTGTGGGCTTGGAGACAAGTTTAGATTCTAGTAGCCACTTCAAATCGTGCTCCAGATAACCTATATGAGGGTGGATTGCAAAGGGATCTCTTCCTACCATTCATTGCCACATTGAAGGTATATACATAAATCTTCGCTTGATTGAGAGAAGCGTCAGATAGGCACTGTTTTTAAACTCCGCTACTCTGTGATTACGCTTTGTAAATGAAAATGATTTCAGAATTTAGTCTTGCCAACGCTGTGTGAGCTGAAATCTCTGTGTTTTAGCCTCTTTAAATAACCTTTACTTACACCTGCAGTTTTAGAGAAGACTATATCTGGGTCTACACTTGTGTTTTATGTGAGAAAGCATAAGCCATGAACGTATACTTATGTGTGTGTGTGTGTGTGTATTTTAATTTGCTTCTAAAGAAACTGTTTTATATGTATTGGTATAGGAAAGATGCGTAGTGCATGAGATTGGTTCATCAACTGACTATCGTAAGCTGACTTCGGTACGATAAAATTTCACATTTGCAGATATATCTCATATAGATCTTTCCAGTGCTGATATCTAATTAAATTTGGACTGCAGGGTGAGGAAGGGTTCTATTTGATTGGCCAAGACTTATCTGGCTTTCTTAGGCAAAGGTTTCAACAGTTAATTGGAGAACAGAAAGCTGCTTCCCAAGAGGTGGAAGTAGTAATGGGAAGGAGACTACATGTATGTTCAAACTTTTATTGCAGGGCAAAGTGGCAAACTATTACTCTGTTATATCCAGATTTTCTGAAACTACTTTCCCTCTAATCATCAGGTTCCACTGGGAGCTAATGGATGTGCCTATTTTACCTTTGAGGAACTTTGTGATAAGCCTCTTGGAGCCGCTGACTATTTTGGACTATTCAGTAAGTCATCATTGGTTGTGTTTATTTTCACACACTCGCGGACGCATACATCAGTCAAAATACACATAGAATTTGGATGTCTTGGTTGTAGGGTATTGCAGATGAGAATTATAGAATTGACATGTCTTGAATTCAACAAAAGTTGAACCAGAACTTTATTTTTCTAAAACCCCATGTTCAGTTTCTCTGTTCATAAAGGGCCCAAAAATCTTATGCTGTGTATATATTTTTTTTTAATAGAGAGCTTTCATACCTTAGCATTGGAAGGCATCCCAATTTTTGGGCTTCAGAATAAATCAGCAGCACATAGGTTTGTCACTTTAATCGATGTAAGTTCCTTTCCTGTCTAGTGTTTTCTTCTGGGCGTTTTGCTAATGAAATAGGTTAAACTTCTTGTGTTTTGATTGTTAATTTTGCTCCATAATCCTATGCATTGCCTCCTTCTTCATTTGTTCTTTTCCTACCAATGGGAAACTAAGGTATGATCGTTGCCTTGCAAATTGTGGTTACAGGTGATATATGAGAACAGGGCCAGGTTATTGTGTACAGCTGAGGGGAGCCCCCAAGAGCTTTTTGAAAGAATAGTAACAATATCTGAGGCTAAACAAATTGCTCCCAGGACCTCTTCAAGATCTAGGAAAAACGATGTGTCTGATCTTTGTGTGGACAATGAATTGGGGTTTGCAAAAGACCGAACCATCAGTAGGTAGGACATAATTCTCTCAACATAATACTATGTTTTTTGGCTGACTAGAGAACAACGATTTGGGATGATGTTTTGGTCCCCATAAGATGCAACCTTTGTCGATGGCATTGTAGGAGGCTTGGATAATATGAGACTACCTCCAATCCTTGATACAGGAACTTGATAATTAATTTGAAAATATTAAAGAATTAATTAAGTTAAATGTTTGAAACAAATATGTGTTAGTTTTCCTAAACTATCATCTTTAATCATGTACATTAAAATTGCTTCTTAGTAGGAACCTTTTATAATTAATAGAAATATTTTGGAGAAAAAATTATAAATTTAGGAGACAAAATGAATTGAGGTCTTATATTTGGATTAGTTCTTATATTAAGAATGGAGGTAGTAATTGAATTTAACTATTACTTTTTCAAAACTATATCACCTAGAAAGACAGAAAAATTTGTAATTCTTTTACTTCTCAGCAAGACTGAATTTATAATTTCATATAATTATAGCAGCTGCTGATTTTGTGCTATTAATAAGCAGATTAACAGAGATCAACAGTAGAGAATACTTAGAGCATCATGCTGCCATGTTAGCAGAAAAGCAGCTCACACAAGGAGGTGTTGTTCAGCAGCATGCCCTTCAAGCATGAAGAGAGCGATATTCTGAAGTTAAAAGGGCTGCAAAACCTCCTGTTGTAGTCTGTATTGAGTGAGAGAGGGGGTAAAATAATGTCTTATAACATGAGGCAGGATTCAGAACTTTAATTTAATGGGGAGCAGGTATTGTTTGCTCCTATATATTTGATTAATCTTAATAAAACAGCCAGGATCCTGCATATCTTTTTTTTTTTTTCCTCTCCTGTTACCGCTCTATTAGATTCCACCCTTTCTTTTCTTTTCTATATTCTAACGGTTTTTTTTTTTTTTACCCCGTCATAACAACACACGCGCGCACGCGCACGCGCGCGCACACAAACAAACAATATCCGTGATTGATTGAGGGTTTGAACTAGACCCATATATTCTTAGGAGTTTCTAATTCACAAGTAAACTATGGCAACCCCAGATGGCTTCCTTCACAATTATTGTTTAAATATTTTAAGTTCGATTAAGGAAAAAAAATCAAGGTAATGAAAGTGAAAACACAAAACAGTTATAAGCTTAACGGTCTCTTTCGTTGCTTGCTATGGTTAAATAACAAAAACTAGGAAATAGAAGGCAGGATGTCGGGTTATAAAGTTACCAGCTACGTCAATTAATTCGTTACTGATGATGAAACCAGAACACTGGTTCCAGCAGTTCGAGGAACAGAACAAATAAGCAAATGTAATGATAGGTTCCTTACTAAAAATTGAATTACGAGTTTTTATTCTGATACTAGAACAAAATTTGTGTATATCGTCTCTTCTTTCTGATTTCGTCTTCCACCAAAAATCTGTGGTGTGACGCTACCTGCGTTAGGAACAAAAATGCAAGTTCCTGGCGCAACAACTGTACCTAGTAGATGCGGTTGGGAACTGTCGCGCCATTTTTCTTTGTTGAAAACAGGTTCATCATGCTGTGAACAGGCTTGATGGAACCTAAAAGGACAAACAGAACGAAAAACGACTTAAGAAAAAACAAGGAGAGGAAGATGGCTGGTATGTATGTCAACATGCTCTACATGAAATTTGCAATCTAGTAGGCATATCGAAAGATAATCAATCGTGAATTTTTCATGAGGTGTTAAGGGCATGTTTGGGACAAAACAGAAACGAGAAAGAAAATGGATACGAGAATGCTCTCCTATAAACATCAAAAGACCCAACCACCCGGGGGGGAAAAAAAAAAAGAACCCGGGGGCGACAAAAAAGAGAAGGTCATCTTGCTGACAGGTGGAAATAGAATAAGAATCAGCCAACAAAAGAAAAGCACAAAACCACAGCCATTTAAAGCGGGATGAAACGAACCCCGTGTCCAATGACTTTGACAGGCGTAAGTAGAATAAGAACACCATTGCCGTTAGTTCATGATTAAAAATTTATTCCGTCCAATGATATGTAGAAATAAGAAATAAGAACACGCTGTTCACGTATAAAATAATTTTTTCAGCAGTAGGAATATAGAATACCTTTATATGATGAGGCATAATCTTGATATCATACGGAATATGAAGCCAGGCTTCAGGTGAGTGAAATAAAAAATTCTCTGGCTTGCTGGTATAAACATCTGCATACTGATGAATGTGATAGGCAAAAGCAGATTCTCGACCTGAATCAGTAAGAAATGTAGCTCCAAAAGATCTGTTAAACATCATCTTCATAGCGGTGCGTGCCTTGAGCCTCTCATCATTAAGTTCTTTCAGAAGCGAACGGCAAGCCACAGTCCTGTGACTATTAGCTGCCGTTGCATGCAATTTACCGAGAAGCTCCTGTATTATATGAAACTTCGCCTGCACCCACCAACAAAAACAGAATAATTCACTATTTTGACATCCTTAGGATGCAGCCGAAGAAAGTGACATTACTGTTCATTCCAAAGTAGAAATTATTGACCTTTTCATAATAATAGAAACAGTTTACATATATGTCTTCATCCGAACAAATGCAAAATGCAAGTCTGGTGAATCATTCAAACTAGCTTCCATAATTAGCCAAAATGACAATGGAAAGATGAGAAGTCATTTTGACTTTTGGGATTAATAAACAGGTTTCAGGCTGCCCATACCAATGGATACATCCATATAATAATATATGCAAACTGGACAAAATATATTTCTAACATTTACAACTCCCAACTAAACCAAGAATGATTAGCTCCTTAGGTTTAAGGAATTGAAAATAAAAGTTATTTACTTCTACAGAAGTTCACACTCTCACAGCAAATCGTCACAACGAAGTCAGGGCAACCCCACAATACATTTAGAAACATTTAAGAGACTTTTGGTATCAGAAAAATGCTAAATTATGCACTAGTGGTTACAAAACTTCTATCGTGTTGATCATTAGTTAACTAAGAATTGGTAAGTTCTGATCTAAGGGATTTTAAACCAAAGGCAACACAAAATAGTTCATCCTAGACACATGTTCAGTACAACCAATTGTGTAAAGTTACATGAAATCCTTCAGCGTGAAATGAAACTGCAAATTAATAAAGTCAAGGTGAACATAACGCTCGGCAGAAGGGTACCTGCTCAAAACGGTAACTATCTTCATTTTGTATTTGTATTTCATTCTGCAGCATTGGACACACATTACATAGTGTCTGATTCTAATGTGATCTCTGACAAAAAATTCTCTCTACAAATGTTTGCTTCTGATCTACACAAGAAAGAATTAAAAACTAAACACACCTCAAGTTCATGGATGATTGCAGCTGTTCGCCAACCAGCCTTACAAGGTCCTCTCAAGTCACTAAATAAGTGGTCTCCAAAATATATCACCTGATAATGAGAACGATTGTCAGCTTTCAAGGAGCACTATGACAAAGATCATTTCTGTCACATTACTGATCTACTTTACTATGAAAACCATAGAGTTTAAGCAGTTACGAATAAGTATTATGAATGGCTTACATATCACCCAAATAAAGCATACCTCTGGCCCACGCCACTTGGTTATTTGAAGAAAATATTTGAGGCATCCATTATAATAAACACTATCTGGAAGAAATGCATCGACTTTGGTGAAAGTCAATGTATCATTCACTGTGTCATAACATCTGTCGTGGAAGAACTTACCATATTCAGAATCTTCATAAAAGAATTCAGGATATACATAAGAGGAATATGCAAGAAATACTGAAAAATGCTGGCATAACGATGGTCCACACTAACTGAGCAAGAACAATTAACAATAAGAACTTCAAAACAACAAAAGCCCAGGAGTACTTAAATCCAGTGAGGAGCCACACAATAGACAATTACTATCAGATCCAGATTTGCTGTAATTGTGCGCTCGCGCGTGTGTGAGAGAGAGAGAGAGAAAGCATCAAAGTGGCGTAGGCTTCATATATCATTTTATTCTTTTTTCATAGAAATGGAAAATCAAAGGAAAATAGTATTTGATCCCTGATGCCCTTGTCAAACATATAAAAAATTGAAGAAAGAAAGAATTAGGGTATATAATCATGAAAAATGGCACCATGCCACTGTTTCGATAGCGTAGACTTGAGTATAAGTACAAGAATGTAAACTAAATTAAAAGAAACAATCAAACAATAGAATACAAACCGGAATGGATGCTCAGATGTATAAAATTGTGGTTTATTGGCCTTGGCAATTACAACGTCAAACAGATCCCTCCAGGATTCTCTGCAATCTGCAGAATCCTAATCAAAAATAAAGAATCAGCTGAGAACATTATAGCCAGATATGGAAAACAACAAAAATACCATGAATAATTACACTTAAAAACTAGCAGGAACTTTCAGCCATGAACTTAATACAAACGTAGACAAAACATCAAAAGGCAAGCGTCAGTGCTAACAATCAAGGCATTATATGCACTTCAAATTACTCCATCACACAGCTGTTATGAGAACTTGTCAATGAGATGAAATTATTCCTTTCTGTAAGCATTCCTTCAAGCAAAGTTTCATTGATACAGTGATGGTTATGGAGAATTCAAGAGGACATTTTCCATGACACAATAAAGAGTAGGTGTGTTATGTAACATCATCTCAAGCAATTACCTCTAACAAGAAGCGCATCCCTTCATCCACAAAGTTAAAAGGAGAATTAGTCAACAAGAAAAGATTCTTGCCCCTCTCCCTTAGCATCTTCAGGAGTTGAAGTATCTTCCCCTGAAACAATTGCCCACAAAGGAATAACAAAAATTGCCAGAGGATTATAAATATGACTGCCACACTATGCTTCTCTCAACGGTGATAAAAACAAAAAACAAATAGTTTAACTTAACTAGAAAAGCAGTTTCACAACTAACCTTTTTCTTATATTGCAGTAGATCAACATTGAAATGTGTTGAACATATTCATAAGAATGCAAAGAAGAAGAAGACAAAGAAGCTAAACGCTTTAATCTTACGTTTTTCACCAAGTATATATGTGGATTAGATAGAATGCCTTGATGAACCAAACCACTACGGTGAACATGCTGAATGGCATGATTTACATCTTCATAAATGTACGAAGCATCAAATTCCAGCTTGGCATCAACAAAGTACTGCACCATATCTGCAATAAGGCATGCCTACAAAGTAATTATGTAAACGGATCAGTCCTAAACTTAGAATTTTCATGGTAGAGAGAAACTTTGCTTCATCAAATCAAAAGATGCCCAGAGTGGAGCAGAAGAATATGGGAAGGGAGTTCTCAAAAAAATTTTGAGCCTTAAAACTATAAATGAAGTTTTGAAATTTCACATGCCTTGGAACACATTCCATCTGTGATGAGAAGTATGACTTAAATCCTTTAAAAAATGGCTAAAAGGAGCAAAAGCTTAGAGATTGCTAGCTTGTTAACAGCAAAACAAATGGTCTATTAACTGGAACAAAAATTATCAAGTCCCATTATCTGAAATATGACTGAACCTACCGATCTTGAGTCCTCACTCCTGGAATTTTAAGAAAAAATCAGAGCACCTAGTGAATTTTATACAAGTCCCATTACTGGAACAAAAATTAGCAAATTTATTCTGGCTAGCTTGTTTTTCACTTTATTTCTGAAATATGACTGAACCTACCGATCTTTATATGAGTCCTCACTCTTGGAGCTATCCCATCAGAAAGAAGGTAAGATAGAGCTCTAACAAGACTGCTCTAGTTCAGATGAATGTAGAAAGCAGAATGCGGACAGCAGGGCATTACTTGGCTTTACAACTCTCAGACATACATGAACAGATTCAGCACTGGAAT